CTAGCGAGTTAACCAAAAAATCAGCAAAAAGCGACGAAACTGATATTATGGGATTTGCATCAGACACGTTTAGTCCTCCAAATTTTAAGACCGTGGTTGCCAGGTGTGGGTTACCTTCTACACTAGATGTCCTATAGGTGCTGCTGCTGTGAACCCGCATGAGAATTAGAACTTCAGCCCAGTAATAGATCTGATGAAAGGTACGAACTATGCAAGGTAAAGCTAAACCTACTGGAGTTGAACAGAACAAGATTGCGCACTCCGTCAGTAGGAATTGAAGACAGCCTACTGGTAGAAAGAAGACCAAGTTTACGGTTGGTCGTGCTCAATTGCAATTACGTCAAAAAATTTTTTTAGATGTCAGGCAGTAATTGTCATAAATATCATTTATGTAAACGCGAGAAAAAAAAAAGAAACAGAATACGCGTATCAATCATTTTAATTGTATATTTTGCTGAAGTTCTAAAAAAAGTTCACAAAAATTTTATATTTTGCTTGTAACTTAGCCAAAAACAAAATTTTAATAAATTTTAGCCCTATTTCTTTCATACACTTTTACTACTAATTGCTGACGCCAAGCCCGCTTCCACAAAACCTCCCAAATTGATGATCGCTAGCAGTCAAAAGCTTGCGACTAAGCAAAAGGTTTACACCTTCAGAAGTCCAAGTTCTGTTCAGTTTTTTAACGAGCTCTCGCAAAATCTTTTCCCCTAAGCCCCGCAATCGCAAAACTATTTCGGGCCTCGCTGAGCAAAAACTTTTTTCTCACAGGTAGCCATCAAATATCTCTTCTGTTACTTTCACTGATATTCCTTCCAATATTTTGTGAAATTTGGACTTTTCTTCCCCGCTGTAAATTCTGGTCAACAGCATACCTAACCAAATTTCTAGACATTTCACAATACTTATTTCTTTTTTCCTTTTTACAAAATAACTGCGCAATCATCAGTTAAATACTACTTAAAACTTTTAGGCCTTCAACAAATCGACAAGTTACGTGACTGTTTCTCATACTTTGGATGAAGGAATGCACTTTAAGTTATAAATTGCTAAACGCTGGCAGCAAAAAATGCTTTTTTTTTAAATAAAAAAAATATATATATCATTCCTTTTAGTTGTACCTATAACTTTTAAAATGTTTTGTAGCTCACTAATAGAAGTTTGTTCCCAGATCTTATTAATGGATCTCTGTTCGACAGTAGTTTTACACTAATTTAATCAAAGTGACCCTGATTACCACACTATGAAGATAACGACAACTAGTTTTTGCTGTGGTATGGGACTTTCGTGACAACTAGGAGCGAGAAAGTTAAGAAGGAGAAATTCTTTTCTAATTAATACAGTCCTCCAGTCACGAAAAAAATTATTTCGTTAAATACTGTATCAACCTGTTCAGTTACCTCATCTACCTTAAAAATTTAGATTTATGGTACTCTAAAATTTATCCTGGTCGATTACAAGCGTTTGAATCTGTTCAAAAAACAGTTATAACTAAAGTTACTGTCACAAATACCCACACTCCTTTCCGCCGTACAGTCAGCAAACAGTACTTCAATGCTCATAGACGGAAAACATACTTGCGTAATTAATGCTACGTAGGTAGCAAAGTTGCTAATATCTTTAAAATTTGAAATGTTAATTTGTCCCTTACATATATAAA